ATTCGTTGTATTATCCCAGTGCGACCCTACCTAGGAGTTGGAGCCCCTAGGAAAGCAGCATTAGTAGTAACAGTAAAGCTAAGCTAAAGCTAAGCTAAAGCTAAGCTAAAGCTAAGCTGAAGCTAAGCTAAAGCTAAGCTAAAGCTAAGCTAAGGATAAGCTAACACTAAGCTAAAGCTAAGCTAAAGCTAAGCTGAAGCTAAGCTAAAGCTAAGCTAAAGCTAAGCTGAAGCTAAGCTAAAGCTAAGCTAAAGCTAAGCTAAAGGTAAAGCTAACTATAAGCTAAAGCTAAGCTAAAGCTCAGCTAAAGCTAAGCTAAAGCTAAGCTAAAGCTAAGCTAAAGCTAAGCTGAAGCTAAGCTAAAGCTAAGCTAAGGCTAAGCTAAAGCTAAAGCTAAAACTAAGCTAAAGATAAGCCAAAGCTAAGCTAAAGCTAAGCTAAAGCTAAGCTAAAGGTAAAGCTTCAGATAAGCTGAAGCTAAGCTAAAGCTAAGCTAAAGCTAAGCTAAAGCTAAGCTGAAGCTAAGCTAAAGCTAAGCTAAAGCTAAGCTGAAGCTAAGCGAAAGCTAAGCTAAAGCTAAGCTAAGGCTAAGCTAAAGCTAAGCTAAACCTAAGCTAAACCTAAGCTAACACTAAGCTAAAGCTCAGCTAACACTAAGCTGAAGCTAAGCTAAAGCTAAGCTAAAGCTAAGCTGAAGTTCAGCTAAAGCTAAGCTAACACTAAGCTAACACTAAGCTAAAGCTAAGCTAAAGCTAAGCTAAAGCTAAGCTAAAGCTAAGCTAAAGCTAAGCTAAAGCTAAGCTAAAGCTAAGCTAAAGCTAAGCTAAAGCTAAGCTAAAGCTAAGCTGAAGCTAAGCTAAAGCTAAGCTAAAGCTAAGCTAAAGCTAAGCTAAAGCTAAAGCTAAAGCTAAAGCTAAAGCTAAGGCTAAAGCTCCCAGGGGACTGGGGGAACCGCGGGGCGGGGACTGGGGGAACCGCCGGGGGCGGTTAGCACTGGCCGGCCCTTTAAGCAAAGAGAGTAAGAACCCTTCTAGGCAGAGCCTAGGTAGGGAAAAAACTGTGGATCTCGTCTCAGCGCCACGCACACGCGTTTCAAACTGTGCAGCAGCTTCAAGGATGGAGGGCGGCTTGTTTCCAGCAGGTCGCTCGCGCCGCAGCGCCGCGCACACTCGCCCTGCACAGGTGTAGCAGCTTCCAGGACGGAGGGCGGCTCGTGTCCAGCAGGTGGCTGTCGCCGTAGCGCCACGCGCATTCGCGGTAAAACTTCGTAGCAGTGTCCAAGGATGGAACGGGGGTTCATTTCCAAATGGTTGCACCCGCCGTAGCGCCGTGCACATTCGCCTTCAAAGTGTACCACTGTTTCAATGGTAGAGGGCGGCTCCGCTTCAAAACGTGGCTGTCGCCGTAGCGCCGCCCATGTTCGTCTTAAGGTTTGCGGCAGGTTCAACGATGGTGGATGCCTCGTTTTCAACATGTGGCTAGCGCCATAGCACTGCGCACATTCGTCCTAAAGGTTTGCAGCAGTTCCAGTGATGAAGGGTAGCTCCTTTCCAAACTATGTACTTAGTTCCGCGCACATTCGTCACAAAAATCTGCAACAGCTCCAATGACCTGCACGGTCGAAATCCCAGGAAGAGCGTTCTGGCGCGATGGAGGACTGTCAGGGCGAAGCAGACACGTTGATCCGCGGTGTTGGAGTCCAAGGGATGGTGCTCTGGAACGAATTAGGACTGTCAGGACGCAGCAGTCAAGTTGACCCGCTGTCGTTAAAGTCACATCAACGATGTTTGGCACGGCTCGGGATTCTCAAACTGTTGTCTTCAAGTGAGCGACTTCTCGCAATGAAGGAAGAGGGAGCTTGGAGGGGAGCGTTTATTGCAACATCCTTGGTGCGTCATTGGTTTACACTGGTCCTCCGCCTCCTCCTACTCCTCCTCCTCCTCCTGCTCCCCCTCCTCCTCCTCCTCCACCTCCTCCTCCTGCTCCTGCTCCCCCTCCTCCTCCTCTTCCTCCTCCTCCTCCTCCTCCTCCTCCTCCTCCTCCTCCTCACCCTCTGCAACGCAGTCCCCCTCCTTCTCACAATTGTCCGTCTGGTGGCTTTTTCTGACAGCTTCGTGGCCTGGAATGGGCCTCCAAAAGCCCAAACTACGAGGACAACAAAAGAGTGCACGAGGAGGCGGTGGCGGAGGCGACGACGGCGCTGGCGGTGACCACGACGGCGGTAGCAACGACGACGGCGGCGGCGGCCGTAGCCACGTGAAAGCCGCCGACGACGACGAGGATGAGGACCAGGACGACGCCGACAACGACAATAACGACGACGACGACGACGATGACGACGGCGGCGGCGGCGGCGGCAACGGCGGCGGCGGCGCCAGCAGCGGCGGCGGCGGAGGCGACGACGGCGGCAGCGCGCGGGACCAGCAACTCGAGGGCGTCCGGGTCGCTGGGCTGCGACGACAGCGCCGCCTCTCGGACGGCGCGCGACGAGTTCACCACACGCGAACACGCGCGCACGAAGTCGCCGACGTCGTCATCGTCATCATTGTCGTCATCGTCGTCGTCGCAGTCGGCGCAGGCATAGTCGTCGCAGTCGTGACAGTCGCCGTCGTCGTTGTCGCGGTCGTCTTCGCCACCGCCGCCGCCGCCGTCGCGGTCGTCGCCGCCGTCGCTGTCACCGTCTTTGGAGTCGTCGTCGTTCTGGGGTCGCAGCCGACGCCACCGCCATAGTCAAGAGAGAGAGAGAGAGTGAAAGAGAGAGAGAGAGAGACAGACGGACAGGCAGGCAGGAAGGCAGGCAGGCAGGCAAGCAGGCAGACAGGCAGGCAGGCAGGCAGGCAGAGAGAGAGTGTGTGAGTATGTGCGTGTGTGCGTGCGTAAGAGAGAGAGGGGGGGGAGACGGGGGGAGAGAGAGAGAGGGGCAGAGGGAGAGGACGATGGAGAGAGAGATCAAAAAAAACATACACACAACGAACGAATGAGAAATATATGTATACACATAGAGATAGCACAAAAAAGGATGGCGAGAGAGAGAGAGAGGGAGAGAGGGAGAGAAAGAGAGAGAGAGAGAGAGAAAGAGAGAGAGCAAGCGAGAGAAAGAGAGAGAGAGAGAGAGAGCGAGATAGAGGGGGTATGAAGAGGGAGGGAAGGACAGAGACAGAGAGAGCGAGCGAGCGAGCGAGCGAGTGAGAGAGGGAGAGAGGGACAGAGGGAAAGAGGCAGGCGGAGACGGAGGGCCGCCTCCGCGTGCTTCGCAACGGTGTCCCACTGCTGCGCCTGCTCGCGAGCCGCGGCCAGAGTTTGCCCGTTATCCCCAAGCTCTGGCTCCTCGAGTGAACGGCTCGTACGCATCTCTCTCCGCCCTGCGCTCGGTACAAGCAAACAAGCGTAGGAGGTCTCCTCGTCCTCCCCATCCTGCTGCTGCTGCGGCCACGCCAGCGCGCCCCATTCTGACCGCAGTCGACGCGCCCCGCGCCCGCCTTTCCACCGGCGCCCGAGCTTGGGAAGCCGGGAGGAGAGGGGAGATTAAGTTTTCTCTTAAGTGAGAAGGAGAGGGAGGGAGGCGACAGCGGCCTCGCCGTCGCGTGCGCCTATGCACTGATCTCCTTCTCCTCCTCCTCCTCTTCCTCCTCCTCCTCCTCTTCCTCCTCCTCCTCTTCCTCCTCCTCCTCCTCCTCTTCTACCTCCTCACTGTCACCCGCATCATTCCTTTGTTCCTCCTCCCCGTTGCCCGCTTCTCTGGCGGGGAGGAGGAGGCGGAGGAGGGGCCTCGCTCACCAAGAGGGGAAGGGAAAGGATGGGCCGACCCGGCCCTACCCAACATCTCAGGGCGGAATTTCCAAGGTCACCGCGACGAGCGGCTGCGACAGAGGCGGCGGGGGCGGCAGCGGCCGCGCCACCGACGAGGAGCAGCAGCAGGAGGAACGCCACAGCCAGAGGAGAAAGGTCGGACAAGGGAAGGACGCCGACGTCGTGAAACAAACGGAACACACATGCCGCAGTGCCGTGTGCGCAGCACGCAGATCCATTCTCGTCTGCACTCGACGCCGAGGAGAAACTGTGCACAGCATACTCGTTCCTCCTCTTGGCGGTGGACCGAAGAGGAGGGCGAGGAGGAAGAGGAAGAGGAGGAGGAGAGAATGAGGCGGGGGAGAAGGAGGAGGAGGAAAAGGAGGAGGAGGAGGAGGAGGAGGAAGGGGAGGAGGAGGAGGGGGAGGAGGAGGAGGAGGAGGAGGAAAAGGAAAAGGAGGAGGAGGAGGAGGAAGAAGATGAGGACGAGGAGGAGGACGGGGGAGAGGGGAGGGGGACCGAGGGGAAGGTGCAGCCCATGCCCGCGGCCCCTGGACCAAGACGCCTCCAGGAGTTCCAGGGAGGCCCAGGTGGCCGCCAGAGCGGCCGAGGCCCAGAGGGCCCCAAGGGCTCGAAAACGGCGCGGCATACTGGGGACACCATTGTACCAGGGACAAGTCCAGCACCCTCCTCCTCCTCCTCCTCCTCCTCCTCCTCCTCCTCCTCCTCCTCCTCCTCAGCTTCAGGGGCGAGCCGTGAAACCCCTCTCCTCTGCCCAAACGGCAGCGACGGCCGTCCGACAGATGGCGCCAGGCGCTTCGTTTCTGGCACCAGCGGCTAGGACCTTCGCTTCGGCGCCAACCGCCAGCACAGCCATGGGAGGGCCGCGAGCATCCCGACTACCTACCAGTCCACCCCAACCCAACGCGAGGGCCAAAACTTCGGGTTGGAGGGGTACGGGTTCCAAACGTGTTTTCGCAAAGGTTCCCCGACGCCCCCCCCGCACAGGGAGTGGGGATCCAATTGAAACCTCCGGGTTGGGTTGGAGTGGCTTGGTGGGTGGTGACATGGTTGGGAAACAAAAGGGTACCGATACCGCTCTCCTGTCCTGGGGTGCGTTCTGACCAGTATTCTGGGGCGAATCCAGCGGTGGCCACGAAGGCCTCCCAGGAGGCCTTCGCGATGCCGCGGGGACAGCGGTCAGCGGCGCGTCAGAGGCTGTCCGTGGGTGCCCTCGCGACGTCGGAGACAATGGGGACGCCCTCCGCCTCCTCGCCGAGCAGGGCCTTCGCGATACCGTAGAAGGACGTGGCCGCCAGCAGCAGGAATATCGCGGAGTCGGCCCACAGAGGCGGGTCCAGGGGCCCGTCGATGTCGCCGAACGTGCCAAGGTCCATAGTGCTGTCGCCGCCCGAGATCGTCAGCATCTCGTCGGCGTCCTCGAACCCGCCAAGGGTGAGGGAGATGGCTGCCGCGATGAGCGTCGGAATCTGCAGCACCACCTCCATGACGAGGGCCTGCCACACGCTGAAGCGGAGCAGGCGAGGGAGCTCCCTGTTGCTGGCGACGACCGGCAGAAGCAGGAGGAACACTGTGGTGCCGAAGGGGATCAGGCTGACCACGCCAGAGAGGGCCTCCATCGCCAGAAATCGAGGAACAAGAAAGTAAAGCAAACCTAAATGTTCGACAGGTCCGCGCCGAGTTCTTGGATCAGCGCTGGATGTCCCCTGGCGACGCCTCTGGCGCCAGGGAGGGGGCTCCAGAACCGACCCAAGAAACCAACGAGGATCTCCGAAAACGCGTGTTAATGTCACTGCTTGTTCCCCGAAGAAAAAACGGCGCGAGAGCTGGCAGCTGGGCAAACTCGACCCCGAACTCCACCCCATCCACCAGCGGAAGCAGGTATGCCTCGGGGGGGCCCAAAACCGTGTGGTGACGGGCCGTGTGGTGACCTGCAGCCCCCATTGGACTCACCGCGCGGACCGCCACAGCACGGTCTTGGGACCTCGGGCCCAAAACCACGCTGTGATCCCGAATCCTCACTGTTGCCGGCGTGCACAAGGGGGTAGGGGGAGGGTGGGAAGCTTCTTAGGAAGAGACCGCTTCTTCGAAGGCGCCGGCCTCACCATCTATAAACCAGGCCCGCGCCTTCTAAGAAGCAGCATCCTTCTAAGAAGCCTTCCCCCCCTCACCCCACCCCCTCTGGCGCGCCGCCATGCCGTGGTGGTCCTAGGTATCCGCAGACCTCTGACGGCCTGATCTTTTGTGTCCGGGCGTTCTTGTCCCGATGTCCCCCATTTACCCCCCTCTGCGCGTGGCCGACGCCTGGCCATCGCTGGGACGTCCATTCCCCGTGCATGTTTCGGCTTCGTGCGTTTTTCACTACTGTCGCAGCATGGTCCAGGATGCTCCTCGAAAGTCCTCGCTGAGAAACATGCACGCGCCCGAGCGATGCCAAGAGACACTGGCTCACCACGCGGTGTGGGCGCCCCACCGCTTTCGTTAGGTCGGGCATGTCCCCCTACAGGCAGATGTTGGAGGGAACAAATAATCAACAAATCCTCAAAAATGATCCAACAAATAATCGACGTGTTTCCGACATTGACATTATTTCTGAATGTTCCTCCTGTACTTAGAAGGACATGCCCGACTTAACGCTTTCGGGGCACCCGAGCGCCGCGGCCGCCGCGAGCCGCACGCCAGCCCCCGGCCTGCCGCCCCCCGCTGGGGACGCCGGCAGGCGCAGCGCCTCCCGCTCCTGGTCGCTGCCGCCCGCGCCGCCCGCGCTGGCGGCGGCGCCGCCGCGCCCACGGCGCCGCCGCGCGGCCGCGCGCGCGGCCAGGAGCGCGGCGGCCAGCGGCGCCGCGGAGGCCAGCCGCCGCCGCGCGGCCGCCGCGCGGCTGCCTCGCAGTGCGGGCGGCGGCGCAAGCCAGGCGCGCGGCGCGCCGAGCGGGGGCGCGGCTGCCGGCCGCAGCGCGGCGGGGCGCTGCATGGGCCGCGGCGCGGCGGCGGGCCGCGGGGGCGCCGCGGCGCGGGGGGGGGCTGCGGGCCGCGGGCCTGCGGGGCACCCGGAGCTCTGGGCTTGGCAGCCTTTTCACACCGGGCCCTCTGCTGGGGCGCACAAGAAAACATACTAGTAATTGCTAGATGCCCTCCTTGGAGGCGCGCGTCCGACCCGAACGTCTCTAGTACACCCACTTGTAGTACACCGTCTCCCGCGCGGTGTGGCCAGAAAACGCCCGCCACGACGCATCTACTGTAAGATGCATCGGTGTGCGCGTCGCCCCTTGGGGGGGCAACCCACACATAGTATCAGTATGTTGGGATGGCGCCGACGGCAGCCGTTTCACACGGGGCCCCAGTCTCAGGCCCCGGGAACCTCACGGATCGATCCAGCTCGACAAGTGCAACAGGCAGATGGGGCCCAGGGCTCCAGACGTGCTGCTTGCAGCGTCGGCTCTCGGGGAAGAGCGCCTGCCGCGGGCCCGTGCTGTGGCGCGGGGCGCTCGGCGCCCGTCTCTCTCGGGCGCCGCGCGGCTCACTCGGCCTTGGCGCGGTCGTGGCTCTCGGCACAGCTGGCGCGGGCGGCGCCGCTGCACGCGCTGCGGGCCGAGGGCCCTCGGGGCAGCGCGGCTGCCGCGGGCTCGCGCCGCCCATGAGATCCGAGGTTGCGAAGCGCACTTGCGACGTAGCCGAGAATCGCGACCGGGG